AATACGACTATGAATGAGGTTATGCCAAAGACAAAAGTATAACGAAAACAGGGAGACAAACGTCCGCATGTAAAGAGAATCCGACATTTCATACGCACCAACCTAATATATTTGCAAAAATTTATGTGGTTCATTTGGCATTGGTAGCAATGAGCCTATTTTGTGATAAACTTGGCCTTTGATTTTAAATGTTGAATTAAATAGTCGACAATTCTCACCATAATTTTGTACTATTTGAGTAGCTCCAAACGATGTCATTTGGAAACATGAATTGAATGTTCGAATTGACTTTAAGAAAAGGTTAGAATCTGGATGCGTATTGATAAGTAAATTGTTCAATAGTTCTGGTTGTGTTTCAATAGCCGGTAGTTGCACTTTTCCTGACGCGCAACACATCCCGGGTTGCTCATTTTTTAACTTCAACGCATTACAATGCGGACATTCTCTGTCCATAGCACCAATACTTACTTTCAAATGAGAGTAATATTCAATATCGGGCTCATAATGGAATGCTAGACGAAGGAATGAATGGGATATAAATTCTTGATGTACTTGTTGGCGTTGTAGGTCATTTAATCTGATTGTGTTAATTGTGAACCAGCGTGCTTGTCTTTGTTCTAATCGTCTTTGCTGACATCGTTTAGCACGTGCTTCTTGCGACTGTGATTCCCGCAATTGCGCCGTTCTCACGCGCTGATTTAAATTGTCTTGCTGAATTTGTTCGTCTGTTCTACGGGCTCTTCTATTTCGCATGGTTATAGCATAAATCGTTAGACAGTCCAAATTGGACCTTCTGCGTTTTGGTGGCATATTAATAATATATTTTTTTTTATTACTATATCTGAGCAGATATATCAACTATTAAGACTTTTGGGTGATTGGATAAAAATGCTTAAATTAATAAAGAAAATTGGACATGTAAAAATTGAAAATTGAATATTGAATCAAATATATAAACTATAAAGACTTTTAGGGGATTAATTATGATTGGATAAATATGCTTAAATTAATAAAGAAAATTAAACATGTAAAAATTGAAAATTAAACACTTAATCTTAATTATAAACCTTGAAAACGTTTTATAAATATTGTCGCCTCGATAATGAAGATAATAAATATACTGATAGATCTGAATCTACGCACATAAAATTTGTCTTCTTTTTCTCTTTTTTCTTAATATCGAACCAACTGCGCATGAGCGGTAACATAAGATCACCTCTTACTTCACATCATATAATTTTACATTGTCTGAATATACGCACATAACATTTGTCTTTTTATTCTATTTTTTCTTAATATCCTTTTAAAAGAAAAATAATTATGGTGGGTCACCCTTATCACTCAGGGGTATAAGAAATATAAGAAAAACTATTCTCATACCTACCGAATATACACAAAAATTTTCATATAAATCGGTCAAGTCGTTTCGGAGAATACGAATAACAAACACTGTGACAGGGAAATTTTATAGAGATAAGATTGGCAATCGCAGCGAGAGATGATTTGGAGTTAGCACAATTTGATATTAAAACTGCTTTCCTTCAGGTGAGTTGAAAGAGCTTATTTTCATGGAGCAGCCACAAGGTTTTGTCGATAAAAGTCAACCACAAGCAGTTTGTAAATTAAATAAGAGTTTGTATGGGCTTAAGCAGTCACCACKGTGTTGGAATTCTAAATTTACAAATTTTCTAAAGAGTTTTGGTTTCCATCATTCTGAAAATGATAATTGTGTATTTTCAGGGAAAGTGAATGATGCAGACGTTATTTTAGCTTTATATGTAGATGACGAGTTAGTGTTGTCAAAATCAAAAGAAGCGGTTAAATTGGTTTTAGATAAATTAAAAGAAAATTTTGAGATCACTATTGGAAACGGAAAACAATTTATCGGTATTGAAATTGAGCGCGACCGTAAAATTCGTACTATTAAAATAAAGCAGGAACAGTACATCAAAAGAATGCTTGTAAGATTTCGAATGGAGGATGCAAAACCAGTTAGTACACCGTTTAAGCCTGGTTTGTATTTGTCATCACAAGAAAATGTAAAAATGTGTGATGTACAATATCGGGAAGCTATAAGTTCATTATTGTTTGCAGCAAGGGTCTGTAGGCCGGATATTGAATTTGCGGTGAATAAATTAAGTCAGTTTTTAACGAATTATGGGCAGGAACACTGGCAAGCTGCGAAAAGAATTTTCAGATATTTGAAAGGAACACTAGATCATGGAATTGTGTACGGAACAAGTGGGAGTAATAGCATTCTAAACGGGTATACGGATGCAGATTATGCAGGATGTGTAACTACTCGTAAATCGACAACAGGTTTTTTATTTGTATTAAATAATGGAGCAGTTTCATGGTCTGGTCAGAGGCAGCGTGTGGTAGCATTGTCAACAACTGAAGAGGAGTATATTGCACTTGCGAAAGGTACTCAGGAAGCTTTGTGGTTAAAGCAATTTTCTTTAGATGTTGGTTTAAAATGTGAAGCGATACCTATGAATGTATGTTGGAATAAATTTTGTTATTTACTGTACGAGATTGGTATTCCTGACGCTCTGTTACGCCACCTAGGCGACATTTTTTTGTATTACTTTTTCTTCTTTCCTTATCGTTGCCATTATGTAAAAGACACGTTTAATATCATTTAAAATATATATCCATTTATTTCTCGCACATCCTTGTTGGAAATAATTTGCGCCTACCTTATACTAACAGGTTATGGGCCCAGGGCAATTATGCGAGAAATAGTTTTGTGAAAAGTCAAGTGTAAAAAGTGAAAAATCTCGAAACTCGAGAAGTCGACCATTGAGGTTATCTCCCTGCCTTTGTGCGATCGTGGAAAATATAATCACTGCAATGGAAAGCGAGTTGTCGAGAGTGACGAAGCTTATGAACATTGAGAATTAGGGCATCTGGAAATTTCAAATAAGAGTGCTGCTCAACGCGCACGGAGTGTTGAATGTCGCCCTAGGAACGGAGGAAAAACCAGCAGCTCTGGCTGCGACGGCAGACGCGGCAGCACAAGCTGAGCATACGAAGAAGCTGGAAAAATGGTGCAGATTCGACGCAACGGCACAAAGAATAATCGTCACGATCATCGGAGAGCAGCAAACTCTTCATATAATCAACTGCACGACCGCGGCGGAAATGTGGTGGAAACTCACCGCGATCTACGAACAAAAGTCCGAAGCAAGTGTGCATATGTTGCAACAAAATTGGTACAACGCAAAGAAAATTGCCTCAGATGACATCGCAACGCATATCGCAAAGCTCGAGGATATTGCACACAGGTTGAAGCTTATGGGTGAGCAAATTTCAGATACGATGATTATAACCAAAATCCTCATGACCTTGCCGAAGAGCTATCGATATTTTATCAGTGCATGGGAGTCTGCGTGTGGGGAACAAGGTCAACGGAAAAGGTTGATCTGGAGATTTACGCGATAGTCGTCAATTTAAGTAACAAAAATATATAAATTTATKAACAAKATACAACTAAACTCKTGGACRCCATRTATMGGACTAACTTACATTTCGACCGTTACGTTCAACTTGGGTTTAGTTAGTCTAGTACCCGCATAGGGAGGAAGGGCGCCAGTGTGCCGCGTCGATACACTAGGCACGTATCGCCACACTGCGCCAGCGGCAGAGCGCACTCTTGAAAACTTGAAAGCGAGGCTTATGACAAGAGGAATCGAGACATATATCGCAAGAAGATAAAACAGGGAACGCCTTATCGACATATGCTAATCGTGGAAAACCCGGACGAGGGCGCGGCGGTCGAGGTGGGCGTGGCGGCCGTGGTGGTTCATCGAAAGACACTCCTAGGCCGGGAAAATGCTATGAATGTGGTGAGCCCGGACATTGGGCCCGCGAATGTTCTCAGCGGAAGGGAGACGACGATCATCGGGGACCTTCAGGAGCCATAAATGCTTCAGATAGGAAGCTACATGGTGAAAGCTTACTGAGCATAGTTCTAAACACAGAAATTCAGCAAACGGTACGAGATGCAGGATGGTTTCTAGATTCTGGAGCCAGCGACCATATGTCTAATCGAAGAGATTGGTTTACCGTTTATGAAGCTTTCGACTCGCCTGCTCCAGTATGCATTGGCGATAGAGGATTTATCGAAGCCCACGGAAAAGGGTGCATCAATGTCATCATGTTCAATGGAGAGGACTGGAACAAAAATCATCTTTTTGATGTTTTATATGTGCCGAAACTAAAATATAATTTGTTCTCAGTCGGAGCTGCTCTTGACAAAGGTCTCCAAATGCAATCAACAAACGCTATCTGTGAGCTGATTAAAAATGGCCATATCATCGCAATGGGAGTTCGCCAAGCAAAAATGTATGTGATGCAATTCGAAGTCGTCGGAACGAAATGGTCAAGATGGAAAGACGATCCACCGCAGGCATTCTTAACTTCATCGGAAACACTGAGAAACTGGCATGAGAAATTGGCACGTCAGAACTTCAGGCACGTAAGGCAGATTCTGGAAAGATTTCAAATACCAATTAAAATGTGAGAAAAATCCATTTTGCGAAGCATGCACTTTTGGGAAGATGCATAGACTTCCGTTTCCGGAGAATATCTCAAGAACCAAGAACATCGGAGAAATAATACATGCAGATCTCTGCGGGCCTATGCCAACCAAATCGCTAGGCGGTTCGAGATATTATCTTTTACTAAAAGATGATTATTCGCACTTTCGAACGGTATACTTCATCGAGAGTAAAGCAGAGACAACAAAATGCATCGAAAACTTCCTGAAGAAGGCCGAGAAACAATGTCCCGGAGGAGTACGAATCCTTCGCACGGATAATGGATTGGAATTCATTAACAACGAGATGAAGAAACTAACAGACAATCTTGGTATCAGACACCAGAGAACCGTAGCGTATACACCAGAGCAGAATGGATCTGCAGAGAGGGATAATCGTACACTAAAAGAGGCGGCACGTACAATGATGCTCGCGGGAGGATTCAAAGCTTAATTTTGGGCAGAAGCAGTTAACATGGCCGTAGATACACTGAACCGTACCGGAACAAGCAGCGTCAAAGGTATCACTCCATTGGAACTCTGGTATCAGTCTAATGTATAACTCTGAGCATGCATCGAGCTTGTGCTCGCTCAGCTGTGCCTCAGGCAAGAGTCTATTACACGTGATGTTGAATGCGTAAAACCATTGCGAAGAGAACAATGACCGTATATGTTATGATCATTGGGTTAGGAAAAACCCCCTCTTCACCATTTCTGGATCATCAGAGAGGTAGACCGTCCCAAAATTAGGAAGTGACCCACTTAGCCGTTTTGCTGGCAAATTATTTAGATTTACCAGCAAAACGTTGTCCAGCAGGGACCACGGGGAGGCGGGGTCACCAGCTATTGCTCGGTCTTATGCAGGCTAGCATTGATGTTATCTGCTAGTGTCTGAGTTGCATTTAATAACGCATATACCCTGCCGTATCGGTACACCTATTGGTGAGAGAACCTCTGCGAGAACCTCTACGGCATTTTATGTACTAAGTCTATCGAGAATTACCTATACTAATTTGATTTCTGCTTTTCAGCACCTTTACGGAGTACTCATTAAAAACGTCAAAGATGGCTTCAGTCACTAAGTGCTTATACTCACATGGCCACGTAAGATATGTTTCCCTAACTGACTGCTCTAACCTATACCAATCTTCATTGTGCAATCTGCAGTCGAATATTATGTGATACGCTGATTCCTCTTCCCCACAGGTACAAGTATCAGTGTCTGCAAGATTAAGACTTTTTAGTTTCTGTTTAAAATTTCCGTGTCCAG